TGCTTCATCGGGTAACAAATAACGGATTTATCACATCGGACAATGTGCACGTAAGAGGACCTGTGGTATTATTGAACGGTGAACTTTTTTTATGGGATGTTCCTCAGGGAGTTGGTAATGGATACGATAGAGGTAATTTAGGTGGCGTGTTTGATGGGTGGAAAGAGGATTTTCTAAAAATATTCGAAGTCATTATACCAAGGCCCGGTAAGACACTATCCTAAAATTCATTTATTTTGACGACGATGTAATCATCTAAAACTATTTCCCACTGCCAGAACTTTTGATCTTTGGGACAGGAAAAACCTTTATTCCAATTCCTTTGGAGGTGCGCAACTATATATACAAATTAGGATTACAAATAGATGTCCTAGACACGGTCAGTTGTAACTTGTGTGAATGAATGACAACGGTAAATCGTTCTACGATTATAATCGATTGTCTTGTTTTGATCAGGATAATGCCTTGGCAACCTTTAATGTATTGGCTGAGGAGGGACGAGATGTCGCCGCCGTGTTCCTACCAATTCGTCCTACGAACGCTCGGACTGGTAGGTCTTTAGTTTAGTCATTTCTTTTATCGGAAATGTGCGATTCAAACAAAAGGAAAGCACAATCACGAGGGGGCACGGGTGAGAGAAAGATTGTTTAATCAATGCGTCATATTTCTATTATTGGTTCTTACGTTAAGAAGTTTATTTCCAAACCAATACTCTTTTTAAAGTGCACACACTCCCGACATATGAGTAGTGCGAAATACATCGACTGATTAACATGTCTTTTTACCCAATAATATCTTTGACGAGGCACGCTTCGGATTTGGATCATGATATCATTGCCGTTTTTTCTAATGAATAAAAATATTCATAAATAAAAAGGCAAAAAAATATTTGGTTAATAAATCACAAGTCCAAAACTGGTCAAAATGTTACAGTTGATTTAATAAAAGATCTCCAACACGATAGGTCCCTCATTTTGCTAGTCATCTGATATCACATTCTTAAAGTATTTGTTTGTTGGAATTCTTTTAGAATGTGTAATCGATTATTAATCTAACATTTTGCAGCTTCTGTATATTTTGTG